TTGAAGGAAATATGTACTTACTTTAAGTTCTTTAAGAGTATTTAGCTTTAATGGTATAACAAAGATTTGTATGTTTATTTTTTCGTTTTAGGATAAAGAAAGAGGGAGAAATTAGATTTTATATTATAGATATAGATATTCAAAGAAAGTAATGTTTAAATTTGTGTTTTTGGAGGGAGCTTATATAGAATGATGATTGTATTTAAATTTGTTTAGGTTTTAAAAGTGTTTTAAGTTTTCTTTTTTTTTTTTTAATTAAGCCTGTACTCAGCTCTGGGAAGTCCAGGGGAGGGTTTGGGAGGTTGGGAAGGGGGGGGGTGAGGTAGGGGGGGGTATGGGAAGGGGATTTGTTTTTGTAAAATGTAAAAATTTTCAATAAAAAAAAAAAAAAAAAAAAAAAAAAAATTAAAGATAATCTATGCCAGTGGTTCTCAACCTGTGGGTCGGGACCACATTTGGGGTCGAACGACCATTTCACGGGGGTCACCAAACAAGGCTGTCCGCCATTTTTCCCCCTTTTCTCTGGCCACGCCCCTGGCACCCGGTGATGTATAAGTGGTTGGGGGTCACCACAACATGGGGAACTGTATTATGGGTTCGCGGCATTAGAAAGGTTGAGAACCACTGATCTATGCATATACAACTATATGCATAACATGAAAAGGGTTTTATTTCCCGAAAAAAAAAACCTCTATAGTTTTTAAGGTACCATGACTCTCTGGCTGAATTTACACAACAGGCTACCTAGATGAAAATTGGTACAGGAGGTTAGTAGTTCAGTGTGTTGTGAGAATCCAACCATTATCTGGGGGGGGGGTTGTGTGAACTAGCCACCTGTTAAGCTGTGGTTTCTCTTTTGGGGCACAGCATGTTATGGAAACACAAACATTGTATTTTCTTGACCTGCATAAAATGTTTAACCTATTGCAAGAATCCACTGTACACTTCATTTTGTTAGAAAAGATTGATTCATCCACCCTTCTGAAAGTCAGACGTCTAACAAGTTTGGAATATCTTTGGATATTCTCTTCCTTTCCTCTGTTTTCTGGCAGGTGAAACTCACCTGTGCAAAACTAGGGCTCCAAGATCACATCAGCACCTGAACCTGTGTACTGCACTGGCCATTCCCGAAGCTTTGCAAAGTGGCTTCAACCACATCCAATCATTGCTAAGATCAGGAGTGGCTTGTTAAATAAATCACAGTTGGCTGGGTTTGCACAAGATAACCAATCTTGGCAGCAGTCAAGAAAAATATAGCATAGTGGGATATCTGATTGCAGCCCAGTTGCTACTTCTTGCACCAATGGATGTCAGAGCTGAGAATCGTCACGAGAGCCTTGTTGCCTTTTCTCAGTTCTTCAAGATAATTGCATTTGGAAATATCCATTATATGCAGTGAATTGTACTCTCGCTAGAAGCTACATGTCAACCCTGCATAGCCACATGCAAACTGCCTTGTGCTGGCAGAGATTGCACCACCCTGGCCTAGTTCCTTTCTTTGAACAATTTCAGCCATCCCTCAATCAAGTCCTCTCCAGCCTGGTCTGGATTTTTGAAAGGACAGAACAGTCCTCAATTGCCTTTTTGGTAATTACTGAGAACAGCCTGTAACAGAGTCCGGTTTCCACTTGGGAATGTTTTATGATTTGAAGCAGCCAAAAGGCCTGATAAGATGCCGAAGGGGGGGGGGGGGAACAGCAGCTGTGTGGAACAGAGCCAAGACCAATCACGTTGAAAGGACCCAAGAAGACCATTGCAGAGGAAGGAAGGAAATTGCCTTAGCTCAGCCTGCTTGTCCATCTAGCCCAGGGGTAGGCCACCTTGGCTCTTTTATGACTCGTGGACTTCAACTCCCAGAATTCCTGAGCCAGCCATGCTAGGGGAAAGGGAGAGGTTTCCAAGCTGAGCCACGCTAGCTCAGGAATTCTGGGAGTTGAAGTCCACGAGTCATAAAAGAGTCAAGGTTGCCTACTCCAATCTAGCCTAATTGGCCAGGTTCACCCACCATCGTGCGGTTGCCAGCCTTTGCTAAAAGGAAACAAATCAAGCCACATTCTAACTTGGTGTGTTGAGGAAATGTATCCAGGGATGCCTGCGGGATGTAGTCAGAAAAGTCAAGATGGCAAAGAATGCCAGGCCAGAGAAGATCTTTCAAAGACTGAGATCTTTTACTAAGTATAATGCCAGAAAAACTTGATGAGCATATTTGATTTTACATGTGATAACAGCAGCAAGAATTATATTTGCACAATACTGGAAGAACAAAGAAATACCACCAGAAGAAGAAATAATTAAAAAAATACTAGACTATGCAGAAATGGACAGATTTACTTTAAGGCTGAAAGAAAAAGAAGGAACAGAACATTTCCAAACTTGGGACCTATTTTATCAATGGTTAGAGAAAAGATTTAGGGATTAGGAATTTAATTTGTATTAGTGAGTAAGATACTTAGACAACACATTTTGTTGAATGATTACTATTGAATTCTGTTTAAAAAATAATTAATAAAACTTTATAAACAAAAACAAAGACTGAGATCTTACAGTCATTTATATACCGGGCCATATTTTAGTCCCAAAGGTGCTTTTTCAAAAGACAACTGGACTTTACTTTGTTTTTCCTTGAAGACATTTCACTTCTCATCCAAGAAGCTTCTTCAGTTCATGAATGAATGAAGAAAATGCTTCTTGGACAAGAAACGAAACATCTTCGAGGAAAAACAAAGCAAAGTCCAGTTGTCTTTTGAAAAAGCACCTTTGGGACAACCGTGACCTGCATGACTGAGACTCTCCATAGACAGGCCCTATTCTAATTACAGAAGGCAGAACTTTCATCTGTTTTTTGCAGAGGTTATCAGCTGCTAGGTATTCAAATCCTATGATCTGCCTATAGTACCTACAAAGATCAGACGGATGCAAGCAATGATATTCCCTGTGATCTTTATAGAAGCAAAAGTTGGACAGTGAAGGAACAGGAGGAAAAAAATATTGATGCTTTCGAAAATTTGATCTTGGGAGAAGATTCCTGAGAATGTCATGGATAGCCAAGGAAACAAACCAATGGATCATTGATCAAATCAATCCATGGTTCTCACTCAAGGCAGATATATTTGACCAGGCTCAAATTATCCTACTTTGGATACATTGTGCAAAGATCTAAGTCTCTGTAGAAGGCGCCAATGCTGGAAAAGGTGGAAGGAAAGAAAGGAACAGGATGAACCAGCAGCAAAGCAGATGGGTTCTGTTACAGTGATGGTCAGGTTAGTGATCAGGTGATCATCCTGGAGGAAATCTAGGTGGTCACTAAAAGTCAACATTGACTTGATGCCCCCCCCCCTCTCTGTTTCTCTCTCTCCCTACCCATCTTCCATCCATCCACCCACCTACCTACCTATCTACCTATCCATTCATCCATCCATCCATCCACCCACCCACCCACCTTATCTCTCTATCTATCTATCTATCTATCTATCTATCTATCTATCTGTCTGTCTGTCTGTCTGTCTGTCTGTCTGTCTGTCTGTCTGTCTGTCTGTCCGTCTGTCCACCCACCCACCCACCCACCCACCCATCCATCATCTCAGCTATTACACCTTGGGAAGAAAAAAACATTTTATGCCTTGTAGTATGCATACCACTATCATACCATCTTAGAAACCACAACTCCACCTTCCTTGCACATTCATCTTATCCTGAGTCCACATCTGAATCATCTAATACCAGTCCAATTTTTTTCCTCTTTAATTAGGCAGCAAGCCAACGTATGCAACTTTTATTAAGTTCCCACCCATTTGCTTACATCACAAGGCCAGTCTTGCTGAGAAGACTGGTAGCTTACTGGGGGAGGTGCCTTTATCCTAGATGGGCGGACAAAATACATTCTTTTGACTATTGATCAGCAAATCAGGGTCCTTCAAATTTTATCCAACCCTTCCCCTCCCTCATTTTATCCAACCCTTCCCCTCCCTCTCCCTTCTTGGGGAGTGGGGGTGGAAATTGTTCGTCCCTTTTTTTTCTGAAGCTAGCTTGTTTTTGATATACTGTCTGTAAACTAGGCAGACCTTGGTTGCCCATTGATTGCATCATTGATTGTGATGTATTGCTATGCCCACTTGTGATGGGTCTGTTTAGTTTTGTTTTATTTGGATGTTTGATTTATGTCTGGCCTTTGGCTGTAATAAATTGATTGAATTGATCATCCCTTTGGAGTTTGATAAACTTCATTGGGGGTATATATCTGGACTGCAAAACCCCAGAAGACTATAATATGGCAGTGTCCATAAAATAACTCTGCTCCCCATCTCTGTTGGTGGTCCTGAATTTTTGCAGTTCAGAAATGAGAATCTTATTTGGATTAAAAATCGCTTTATGGCACTCCAGCAAGATCCATGTGACTCTAAAGACCACTAGAGAGCAAAGACATATGAGGAAAAAAATAATAATCTGGATTAGTACATCACAATAATCCATACAGTAATTGTTTACAGTAAGTCTCCGTGTGTTCGAAAAGGATTATTTGTGAAAAGGGCTTGAAATGCTGCACCAGAGCCCAGCCATGATCATCTGCAAAGCACAGTTCCTGCTTTTGGGGGGGCTGCCGGAGAACCTGCACCAGTGCTCCTTAACCCATGAGGTCAACCTTCTCAACAGCAAAAACAAAGCTAGGGAGTTTTGTAAAACACCCCATTAAGCTCATCCCATCTGGGGGAACCATAGGGACCACCCTGCCATCCTTTAACAACTGGGACCTCTGCCTCTCCCATAATCCCCAACCTCCACGGCCATACTGCCTGATGGGAACTGTAATCTATGCCGTTCTGAGTGCCAGATGGGGGAAGGGGGCAATTTTTGAAGATGGGGACCTCTGTGCAACGCCCTACCTTCTTTCTCCCGGCGCTAAAGAAGCAGGCGCCCCTTCCTCACCCCCTCCCTAAAACAGAGACGCCCGGCCGCCTTGGCGGGCCCGCCGGCAAGGAAACCTGTTCCTCCGTACCTGCCCGCGCAGGTTTGGGTGTGGTCTGCCCTAGGTTCTACTTCGCCAGGCCGACAGGAGGAGCGCCCCCGCCCGCCGCTGGGTTTCCGGGTCGTTTGGGCTACTACCTTGCTTGTCCCGAGTTCTCCCGGCTGGGGTAAGTGGAAGGGGTCGAGAGGGGGCTGGATCGGGCCGTTTTTCCTGGGGAGGGGGGCCCTCGGGTCTTTTCTGGGCCACCGAAGGGGGGGGGAAGAGCTCGTTTCCCCGCGGGCTGGCCTCGTTCTTGGCTGGAAGGGACGACGGACCCCTGACTTGGCTTTGCCCTCCTTAGCTGCGCTTTGATTTCGAACCAGGCTCGAAAGGAGCGGCGCGTCTGCCCGGCGCTGCCTTTGGCTGGCAGGGAGGGCCGGGCGAAGCGGGGCTACCCAATGGGCTGATCTGGGCCTCTCCGAGCCGAGGGGAAAACGCACTTTCTTCGCAACTCCTGTAGTTTCCCGAGGGCAGCGGACGCGGCTTGAACGGTGATTCCCACTCCCCCCCCCACGTCCAGCTTGCACCACAAAACAAACACAAATAGACGCCCCGGGTGGCACTTCAATAATCATGGCGGGCATTAAAACAAGCAAAAGGCGCAGGCACGCACACACACATCATTGGTGGCAGACGTGTGGTTCTCCGAACTTGCGCCTATGTGGCTTTGTTGAATAGGGATCCCCCAGTTCTGGTTATTTGCCTTTTCTTCAGAAAGGTTCGTGCAGAAAATGGGTTTGCCTTATTTAGAGGCCGTGCCTAGAAGTGGGAGCTTTTCTGGTTCAGATTTCAGAGGGGTGCATAGTTTTGCATTTTATGGGTGAAGGGATGGACTTGCTGGAGGCACCGAAGCTGGGGGGGGGGGCTTCCTGGGGATTTCCCATCCCGGATTCAGTCCCATTAGGTCATATTGTGGCTTGTTTATGCTTAATGAGCCCATAGTGAGGTATTCAATTAAAATTGCCTTTAACAAGCCATCCCCGTGTCATGTGGGATGTTTCCAGGTCAGTTGGCAAAGCCAACTTTGAGGGACCAAACTATGGGATAGTTAGGGTTGTTTGATTTGTTTTCACAGAATCGATGACTTTCAGATATATTACGTTTCTCAGTTCCCATTGTGTGTTGACTACACTGTGAACTGTAAACCAACTTATTTAGGGGCCACCAAGAAAACCACTACTGTCAAAAAAACAAACAAACCCTATTGGGTTCCCGTGAAATGTGGAAATGCAGGATGGATGGTCTGAAGTAAGCTTGATATTAATGGTTAACTCTTAGATTTCAATCCCCCTTTTCCACCAGCAGTTCAAAGCAACATTCTCAACACTTCCTCCAGCTATGGATTATTTGTGGAGGGGTACCAAACCTTTTTTGTAGGAAGAAATATTTTTGGCCTGAGGATAACCTGGATAATGTGAGGGAGTTGCTTTGGAGAGATGGGCGTGATCCGTATTCATATGACATTTGAAGGGACACCATCAAATTCAACTGGGGGGGGGGGGGTCAAGCTATCCTCCAAAGCATCTGAGAGCAGGACAAGAAGTCATAGATGGGAATTTATGAAGGAAAGAAGCAAAACTAGAACTAAGGAGAAATTTCCTGACAGTGAGAATCAGTGGAACAGCTTGCCTTCAGAAGTTGTGGGTGCTCCATCACTGGAGGGTTTAAGAAAAGATTGGACAGCCATTTGTCTGGAATGGTCTAGGCAGGGTCTCCTGCTTGAGCAGGGGGCTGGACTGGAAGACCTTCAAGGTCCCTTCCAACCCTAGTATTCTCTTTTGGTGACTTGGAAAACAAGGTGGAGTCTCCTGTTTCAAAAACCCGGAACCTTTTGTTAAACAATTGCATCACCTCTAGCTATTGTTGGTGGAGTTGCAGAAAATTTTCAGTCTCACCTGAGCAGGGGAAAAAAAAATATATTGAGTAACTCTCGGTCAGGATTAAATGCAAAGGTGTTTTGTGCCAGCAGATTTAATAGTCTTCGGATAATAAAAAGGATTATTCTCCACTTGCTTGTATTCAGAGATTGAGCCTGCCCTTCTGCAGAAGGGAAGCTGGACCTTTGTCCTGAACAAAGTTTTATCTAATGATATCGTTGTGTGCTTTCCTCCATCTTTGTCTTGCTGGGAGACATTGTTTCCCTTCTGGGGGGCAGGGGAAAAGAAAAGCAGCAAAGGAACCAGTTTCTGAACAGAGATCTACACGGGGGGGGGGGGGGGAGGGAAGAAAAGGGCTTTAAGAACATTGTTAAAGAGAATCAGATCTCACGGTATTCTTTGTTTTTCAGTTCTTATGGTGCTGTATTACTTAAGAAGATAAGCCTTGGCAAGACTTTTTAAGGCCTGTGGACTTCAACTCCCAGAATTCCCTAGTCAGCGTACCTTGCCACCATATGTATGCAAATTATGTACCTTCTGATCTTTTGTTCTGTAAAATCTGAAAGAAATTTCCCTTGGGCAACATTTCTTTCTCAGGGGTGGAAAAAGCTGTTTCAATGGCTGTTGCGCAAAAGCTACAGGAAGATAATATCTTGATTAGGTTCTGCCCAAAGCGGTACAAAAGTTCTCAATTTGTTTTCACATTTTCCAGTGTTTTGAACGGTTAAATCAAGCTAGGAGGAAGAGAGCAGGCAAGAAGTAGAGACACTTATTTCAAAAAACCCAAAAAGGAACCGAAAGCTTTTTTCTCTCTCTCTGCTTTCCCTTTTCTCCTCCTTTCTACTTTGGTATTCTAACCATTGTTAAAATTTGCTTTGTCCTTTTTTTTTTAAACATGCACAAACCATATTAAGTCACAGCAGAGTGGAGACTTTAATATTAAGTAAAATATTAAGACTGAAACTTTTATTGGACTGCAATTACTTTGATGCAACCTGCAGTGCCTTTTAATGATATATTTACCGGTAATTCTGGGTGAAAGAACTGAATAAACTTACACTCTTTAGTGTTTTACAGCTTAAGTGATAATTGAGATCAAGAAATCCATCAGCAAGCAATGAAGTTGTAAACAATGTAAAGCATGATGTCACGTGACCACGACACTTAGTGGTAGAAATTTCAGCCATGCCTTTTGCATCAGTTGCTGTGGTTAAACAAGGACCTCACATGAATGTGACTTTTGATTTCCTGTCAGCTTCCCCAATGACTTTGCTTGTGGGAAGCCAGCAGGAAATCTCAAAAATTGTGATCATGTGAGTGCAAAGATCTGCAAGAGCCATAACCACAGGGACCCACTTGAATACTTTTTGTTCAATGAGATTGCAGCTTTGAACACTCACTGACCAAACAGTTGTAACCTGAGGACTTCCTATAAATCATATCAGTACTGATATAATATCTGTTTCCTCTTTTTCTCTTCAATGAATTTCAATGTTCATTAATAACCTTAATTAATACCGTACAAAGACCAGTGTATTAAGGAAATGCATTAGGTAAGTTTTGCAAGAATATAATAAAAATTATTATTATTTAAAAAACCCCTTCAAACTGCTTTGTTGTTGCCAATGGTGCTGCTTGACACATTTTAGTCAGCGGACAACTTTTGAAAAGATTTTGAAGGGACATTTTTAAAAGAAGGGGCATACACAAAGTTCCCTGGGATGTAAAGTAGCTGGGTATTACACCAAGGTATTTCAAAGTAGTACAGGTAGACCTCAAAGTGCGACCACAATGGAGCCCAAAATTTATGTTGCTAAGTGAGACATTTGTTTAAGTGAACTTTGCCCCCTTTTACGACTTTTCTTCTCGCATTTGTTAACTGAATCACTGCAGTTGTTAAGTTAGTAACATGGTTGTTAAATGAATCTGGTTTCCCCATTGACATTGCTTGTCAGAAGGTCGCAAAAGGAGATCACGTGACCCTGGAACACTGCAACCATCATAAACCTGAGTCAGTTGTCATAAACCTGCGTCAGTTGTCAAGCATACAAATACAAATTACATGACCCTGGAGATGCTGAAATGGTATAAAAAATGGTCAGAAGTTACTTTTTTCAGGGCTGTTGTAACTCTGAACAGTCACTAAATGAACTGTTATAATTCAAGGACTACCTGTACTGATTTTAGCAATAATCATTCTGAGATAGGAGGTGTCTAGCTACAGAGTGATGTGAAACTTCTAGGAAGTAATCCCTTAAAATAAAAACAGTTGCTTTCTCACAGTGATCCAGCCTCATGTTGACACAATACTTAAGGATGTGGATAAATAATATAATAACTTCTCTATTCTGTTGACACTTTTCAAGAATTCTCATTAGAGCAGGCCATTCAAAGCTATTTTTATTCTCTGCAAGTGTATACATTTATCAGAGTGGAAACCTGCTTTTACATTATTTTATTTCCTGGTGTGAGCTTTGCTACAGGGTGGGTAATAGATACAACTGAGAAGCTGATCATGCATTTTGCCTGCAGCAACTTGAAAATATCGTCCGCAACTCCCCTGGCTAGATTGGAGGGAGGCTGTAAATTAGAGTCCTACGCAACAGGGATAATGAGCCCGTGCTTTCTGTACAGATAGTCCTTGACTTACGACCAGAAATGAGACTGTCGTTAAACGATGGGGTTGTTAAGTGAGGCATCCCACAACCAGACCCAATTTTATCACCTTTTTGCATCAGTAATGAAGGGAGACATTACATGAGTGCGACTTGTCACCTTTCCCACAGGCTTTCCCAATGACTCTGCTTAGCAGAAGCTGACTGGGAAAGTCACTAAGGGGGATCATGTGACTGCAGGATGCTGCAACTGTCATAAGCACCAGCCAGTTGCCAACTCTCTAGATTGTGATCATCTGTTGGGATGCTATGATGGTTGTAAGTGCGAGGACTGGTCGTAAGTTGCTTTTTTCAGCACTCTTGCAACTTCGAACAGTCGCTAAACGAATGGTTGTAAACCGAGGACTACGTGGATGTTTGGATGACAAGCTGTTGACAGTTGTATTAGTTATGACTCATGGACCTTTGGAACATGTCAGGTTGTGTACTTACTGCACTAGAAAATACTGATCCACGTCTGGCCAGTGGTTTCACTTTGTGGAAGGAACTTTCCTCAATTCCTTCATTACAAATCAAGGCTATATGGTGGAAGGGTGAGCTTCGGATGCTGCGGGCAATTGTCTGGCTAAATCATAGTTTGTAGTAACTATTTTGCTTGACAAGTCATAATAAAGTCATTTCAGTGTGCCATAATATGTGTTGATTTTTTTTGATTTGGTATGTAATGGATATCTACTGATTGTAGATCACGGTTTTTGACTTGGAGTATTTTTCAAATGTCGCCAATGCTGTTTTTGTCAACAAACCATGCTTTAAGTAAACTATACTTAGATATAATCCTCAGACCTGTTAAGAATATGCAAGGGATTCCTGGCAGAGACTTGAACCTGTGTTTCTCAGAAGCGATTTATGAAAGAAAAGCTAATTACTTTCCTACTTGTACAGACATGCATACAGAGAGAGTGAGTGTGTGTGTGTGTGTGTGTGTGTGTGTGTGAG